TTTTCATGTAAGTATCTTTTTGTTGTAAAGCTCAAATATTTTTAAAAGCATACATATCTGTCTGTTATGTAATCTATATCAACAACTAAAATACAACTAAATTATTTAACCATTGTGTAGTTATAACTCTTTCCTGATCATTACATCAAAAACTCAACTTTGGAATGCTCACAAACCGGTATAAGGTAGGCAGGCAACCCACAAATTTGTGATGCCCATAGGTAGTTTTGTGCTGAATGTTTGACCGGGTGATTGGGTCAACAGATTCGAGTTGTATGATAAGATGATAGCATTACATTTATATATTCACATTATCAGTCATCACAGTATCACATGTCCTTACTCCTAGAAAGCATACTTCATTTGCTATAACGTGTAACAAGCGCATAAAGTCATAAAAAAAATATACCTAAGAGGTAATAATGAGATTAGGCTCCGTACGTTCCGTACACAACCGCCACGACGAGATTCACGAGCCGCCTGCCCTTGTGCAGACGGGAATCCTGTGCGAGCGTCTCTCTCGGCCTCGGCCCAGCCCTCGATCGGACCGTCTAAGTGCTCTGCCACTTGTTGGCGAACAGGCCGTACACGACGGCCCAAATGACGAGCCCGGCGACGGTGGCCACCAGCAGGACCGTCTTGTAGCGGTGCCAGGGGTTGGGCCTCATGGCCGGGGGCTTGCCGAGGATCTGGGGCGCCATGGCCCTGCACAGGTCGGGCTTGCACAGCGGGGCGCCGCCCGCCGTCCCGTTCGTCCCGTTCGTCCTGGGGGCGCCGGAGGCGGCGCGCGGCGCGACGGCGCCCATCTCCCCCAACTCCACCGTGGTCATGGCGGCGCGTTGTGCGGCCTCTCCGTGGGCGTCGAACGCCGCGTTGTCCATCTGCAACACAGCGCAAAAGATCCGAGCGCGTTAAACCACTGGACCGAACAGCACCTGTCCCGCCCTCCCGCCCCTCGGCCCCGCGCGTCCTTGACTGACCCACTTTCACTCTCGGCACACGAACACCCACGAGTCACAATGTGGGCTCAGTAACCCACCGCAGTTCACAATTATTATTATCATCATCATTTTTTATTTGGCACACAATAGTATGTGCGTTGAATGTCGCTTCACTCACATAGCCGCCCTGCCTCACCGTCGCGCCTGGACTTCCCCCTCAGCTAGGCCGGCCCTACGCTCCACACCCTGGCCCCACGTGGAGCTCACTGGAGACTCCGGCCCAGGCAGCGGCTCTGGAGTCGCGCCGGTTGTGTATTGGCACCCGTCCCCCGGCCTAACCCGGCCCGCTCCTGGAGTCCTGATGGAGGTTGCGCAACCTGTTACTCCACCACCAGTCGAGTGGCTCCACCCATAGGCTCCAGGCCTGGGCCCAACCCGGCCCAGCCCGCCGCCAGTGCGCCAACCAGCTGGAGCTCTACCTGCGGGGCCGGCCACGTTCTGGGTTCCGGGTTAGGTCCTAGGTATGTCTCTTGCAGCCAAGAGGCGAATCCAAGTGGGGCTTGAACTGAACGCCTGGCCTACAGGCCACATTCATTACTTTCTCGCCCAAAGTCAGGCGAAAGAAGCGGTGGCAGTCCCCCTTAAGGCCCAAACCTGGCTATAAAGAGAAGTCGACAGCACTGTATAAACAATCACAGTAAAGAGAGGAGGATGCGGTGACCCTGGGGAGCCCTTTAGAGCGCCGTGAGTACTGTACGTACCGCCCCCCCCCCCCCCCCCCCCCTCCCGCGGGCCAGCCAGGGCCAGTGATCACGGTCATCACCAAATACCCGCTATCAGCTTCGCGCTTATCAACCCCCCCCCCCCCCCACGCCCTATTAGAGCGGGGTGGAGAACTCTCAGTGCGGCTGTGCCGAGTCTCGAGCAGGCTTTGGTTAGAGGAGCTGGATGAGGCGGAAGGTGGAGCAGGGTCATTCCCCCGAAACCCGATCCCGTAAGTCCTCGCACCAGAAGCTTAAACGCTCAAACTGGGCACAATAGACAAGGGGGGGGGAGGGGGACGGGGTGCTGCAGTATGCGAAGTCCATCCTTGTCGAGCTATCCTGCAAAATCCTTCACGGACTGTGAACTCTGTTACCCTATTACCGGTTAAGTCTGTCATCCGCGGGCTCAGCCTTCCGCGTTGTGCCCACGATTTCTATTGACAAACACCTTCCAAGAGAGCCTTTCACTCCACGCTCACTTCCTCGTACGCACCACGCGGGGCTGGACTGGGACAGTCAAGACGCCCCCCCCCCCTCTCATCCCCGCCCCCATGGGCTGCGTTCGAGGAGAGTCAGGAGGGTAGCGCTCCTCTCTCTCTCTCTCCTCTACTCGCGCAAAGAAGAGAGCGAGAGTTTGGAGGAGAGGCGTCCGTCAGTCCGTCTGCGCGTCCGTCCACGTGCATCGCCCGCTTATCGTGCGCCCGGCCACACTCCCCCTCTCTCTCCCTACCTCTCCCTCTCTTTCTCTCTCTCTCTCTCTCTCTCGCACACATGCACACACACCATCTACACATGGGAGGGCTGGTCATCAACTGATTCCGAGTCGGCCACGACGTTCTCGTCAATCCGGTCGGTGGCCCCGACAAACACGTACATACTACGACGAGAGTCGGCACCCCGAGGCTGCTGCTGCCATAGTTTACATGGGTGTCTTCTTGGGCGTCTCGGTTGCCTCAGCCATGCGAACAGCATAGCGCAGACACACAAGACACTCCAGACACCCACCCACGCATCTGGTCGCAGCTTTACCGTACCTGTCCGTCATCGTCATCGCGGCCGTTGCTCGCGGAGGACCATCACAGAGGGAAGACCGGGGAGGGGGCTCCTAGTGCAGGCGGGGGCGTGCCGCGCGGCCTCGACGCCAGAGCCGAGCGCACCGAGGCTTTTGCACACGACAGGACTCGGCGCCCGTCAGTCAGGGCACGTTCAATCCGATTGTAATGGTGGTGTTTTGGTTCGTGGTGCACGAGGGGGTTCCCGTCAGCCACTCGCGGACGCAAACAAAGAGCTCCGCGCGGGCGCCGCCGGGCCCGTCGCGTCAGGCCGGAACGGAAACTAATTCCCCTGTTTCGCAGGGGAGCACGGCTGACTCGGCGAAGCAAACTGCTGACGGAAACGACACCGCAAATGCACCAAAAACAGGACATGGAAGTAGTGGTCTACTATGAAGGGCGTTTTCGAGCGGCGCGCGGCGCACGGTGGAATTAGTCGACCTCTCCTGAGGCCGCGGGGGTGTAACTCACGGTGTTGAGCCGGTGTCCGTTGGGGCTGCCGCCGTGGGCGGGGCGCGCGCTCCCGCTCTCCCTCGTCGAGGGCATAGTGCTGGCCGCTGCGGAGCGCGCGGAGGAGCGGGCCGGCGGGTCGCGGCCGCGTCAGCCGTCGTGGGCCGGCGGCCGGGCGGGGTGCATCAATGCTGTAACACTTCCTTTTGATATCGTCTGCCGCGGCGGGCGGCGCGGTGGGGCGCGGAGCTGCGGGGGCGCGCGCTACATGGCGATCGCCAGTGGTCACTGAGCTCCCCGACGACGACGGCGGCGGGCCGGCGGGCCGTGTGCTGTCGTCGCGCTGGGCTAGGCTTGGGGCCGCCGGGGCTGGGCTGGGCTGCGCGCCGGCACGGCTGTACTACTGATGGGGCGAGCGGTGCGCGCCCGCCCGCCTGCGGTGTGTGGTAAAGTCCCCCGGTCCCCGCCCGCCGCCCCCTCCCGCCCCGCGAGTCTCGCATGAGGCCCGCAGGCCCCGCGGGCTAGAGCAGCGCGGGGCCGGCCGGCGGCAGGTCGCGATGTCCGTCTACTAACGCCCCTCCCCCTCCCCGCGGCCAGTGGCGCACACCAGAGGGGCGGGCATGCTATGCTCAGTGTGTGCGTGTGCGAGGGAGACAGAGTCCTGCCCCCCCCCTCTTCCCCGCACCCCTCCCTGCCTCCCTCCAGGCGGAGGGGTGGATGGCACCGCGCCAGACAACAGGGCCGCGGCCGCCGCACGTGTTTGCCGCGCTCGACACACACACACGCCGTGCTCCTGAACAGCTGAGCCGCCGCAGCCGGGGCCGGCCCGGCGCGGCGAGTACGCGCAATTCGTGTCAGAGGCAGCGGCGTAGCTGAGCAGCACGGAGGCGCCGAGCCACTGCGCAGCACAAAACCACACCACAAAAGGGAGGGAGGGACACGCGAGGGAATTCCACACCACCCACACGCACCAACATCCCTCTTCCTCTCCACACTGCCGCCGTCCCGCTCTACCCTTGCTTCATCTCGTTCAGAGTGATTCAGCTGCAAAGGCCTCCGCCAGAGAGCGACCCTTCAGAACAGCAAGAACGGGGCGCGGCGGGCGGTCCTAGACAGACAGTCTATGAGGACGGGACCCATACTCTCTCTAGGCGGCCCGAGACAGAATCCGGGTTCGGCCGGTGACATTTTCACTGGCTACACTTTTAGTCCACAGCAGCACATGTGCGAGTTGTCCCTGCGGCGGTTAAATGTCAGAAGTCCACTCTGGAGCAGCTCACCATGTCGCGGGACCGTCACTCGCGGGCGGTCGCCGGGCCGTCACTGAACGACCCCGGTCCACCTGCTCCTGGCATCCCCGCAACAACGGGACCGCGCGCAGTGTGGTCGAGTTGGGATGACGGCTGCTTCCGATGGCGGATGAGAGGACAGAGACGAGGCAGTCGAGCGTCTTGACTCGCTCCAGCAGCCGTGGCGGCTGGGCGGGGCGGACGCCGCGGACACACGCGGCGCACGACGGCGAGCACGACCCGGGCGCCGATCACGACGTGACGTGCACCAGGCCGACGACGGCGGCTGTGCGCTCTGTTGTTCGCCGCGCTGCTGGCTCTGCGGCCCCAGAGCCACCTCCACCTCCCGCAAAGTGGCCTCACACGA